CGCCGAAACCAATTCGCAGCCCAGGTCTATGACCCAGTTATATATCAGCCATTATTACGATCCGCTAGTTTATCAATGAAATGATTATTCGTAACAACGTGAGTGTTGAATTTATTGCGTACGGTTTATCGGTGAGATGCTAACGAGCTGCCATTCGTTTCCTGGGTCGAGTGCGGGACGTTTCAGAGGTAACCGGCACGACGTGCAATAATAACCCCGAACGTCAAGTTCCCCACGACTCATAATTCATGAATAAGTCGATTGACGACCGTTAATAACAACTGATATAAAACTTGGGTCGTTAACAACACATAACGAAGACTCGCCGAAATGCAATCTCGCGCGCACAAGAAACCACATGAGCCGTGACGCGCTGCAATTATACCTTCAGCAGGGGCAGGTGGTATTTGAGGATGCTCTGAACTGGCTTAGCGGTAAGAGCCGGAGGGGAAGGGCCGGTGGTTGCGAAGAACGTCTGTCGATGCGGAAGAATTTACCCGACCCCTTCGCGTTCATGCACTTTGGTCAGCACCTCCATCGACCTGGGGAGGGAAAATCAACAAAATTAAAAAATCAGGGAAAGGCATCATCATTCGCCGCGTTAAGTGTCCAGGGACAGAGTTTTATCTCCGGTTATTCGCAGGGACGAAGTTTATTCCGTGTTAATCCGAGGCACCGAGTTAATTCTGGTATCCAGCATACTTATTCCGCAGTTAATTCACAGGCACGGAGTTAACTGTTCGCATTCTATAGTTCAAGGCAACGAGTCTTTTCTTCGTTAATTTACGGCACGAGTATCGTCTTAACCAGCACGGAGTTATCCTCATTAATTCAACGAGGCACGAGTTAAATTCCTCGTTAATTCTCAAGGCACGAGTTAATCCTCGTTAATTCCAGGCACGACTATTATATTCCATCAATATTTACAAGTTATACATTTCATACAGACGCACGAGTTATTCCTCGTAATTCCCAGCACGAGTTACCGATTCCTCATAATTCGCCAGCACAGAGTTTACTTGCTCGTTAATTCCCAAGCAGAGTTTAAACCTGTTGTCGTAATTCCAGGTACGAGTACCACATGTTGCTTAGTTCCAGGCACGAGTTTAACTGTTCGTTACGCTTCAAGGCACGAGTTAACGTCTTCACAGACACACGAGTTAATTGTTTCATCAATTCCAGGCAGCGATTTAATTTCCGCGATGTTCCAGGCCAAGTTATTTGTTCGTTAATATTCCTGGCACGAGTCTAATTGTTGTTCAATTCCAGGCACGAATTAACGGCGAACAGCTTCCGCGGCCGTTTCCCGCAGAGAACAGAGCTTGCGTCGGGCCTCGCGTCTGTCGTTAAACATGTGTGGTGACCTTCTCCTCTCAAACAAATTTTAAGTAGGTGGCGGATGTCACTGGCGAGATTATGTACTGTCAACGGCACGGCGACATTTCTTCGTGTTAAACGGGCCAGAAGTTACCGGCGCGTAAACTGAGAAGACGTACAACACGTTAAAGTATAGAAACGAAATTTTTGTTGGCGCGATGTTTTCTTAACTGGTTGTTTACTAGCTTTCTGAGGCCCCGTTGTTCAGAAACCAAAATTAACGTTGACAAGTCTGTATCCTATATAATACACGGTGGGTCGCTCCTTCTACCTGCAATACGGGCCCAACAACTGACTTGTTTTTATTTTTTTTTCGCACGCCGTCATACGGGTTGTTTACTGAAACTTGATTTCTCTGTTTAATACACAAGTGATCGCCCTTAGCTGCTATATATACAGGACGCCAACAACTAACTTACTTTGGGATAGCTGTGCGTACTCTGTGTAGATGTCAGTGGACCATGTCTGTGGCGTGGTGAAACAGTTCTTGCAGACAACTTACAACAACAAACTGTACACAACAACAGCTTTACACATCACTTAACATACAACTTACTTGGGATATGCTGGTGGCAGTACTGCTGTGTAGATGTCAGTGAAGCCATGTGTGTGGCGTGGGAAACCACTTGCTATCTCTACTACATCGTCGTCTGTGGTTTGCCAAGTCCTTGCGCAGTTCGGCTGCAACGAATGCAATGTTAACAACATTCAGAGGCGACAGAAACATGACATGCAGCGCACGTCACGGGCTCTAAGCGCCACGCCACGCACGGCACGACCACGCACGCTTAACAACGCAGGCAGGGCAGACAGGCACCACGCACGCAGACGCACGGACGCACGAACGGAAGCGCAAGAGGCAGGCACACCACGCAGGCACAGCACTGCACCGCACTCCTGCTACCGACGCCGACCCCGCAGGCAGGCACACATGCATCGCACTGCAACGCACACCACAACGTCACGCAGCGACCGAACCACGCACGCACATACCCACAGCATGCACGCACTGCACGCTATCGGTTGCACGCCACATCAGCGCCGAAACCGCACGCACGAGGTTGGGCAGGGCGCAACGCACGCAACGCCAACGCACTATATTTATCACGTATTTGATTTCTTTTTAAATTAAAGCGCAGATGGCTGCAGATGCTATCGAATATACTAATCCCCTAATTCCATTAGATGGCAGGATTTTTTTTTCTAGCTGACACGCTAAAAACAATTACGTTGGCTCCAACGTGCATCGAACATTTTTTTTATCGCTGGAAAACGGGGAAAATATATATTAATTACTTAACAGAAAACACGTTTAGCTATAACATCTTATCCAAGACGAATCAACTCACAGTTAATTTTACTCACTTGAGAATTATACATGAGCTATACATACATACATACATATACGTACATACATACATATACATACATACATAAAAATCATAACATACATACATACCATACATACATAATACATACATACATACATACATACACTACATACATACTACATACAACATACGCAATATACATACATATCATAATCAAAATTAAATAAATAGGAGTAGATAATAGGGAATTCCTATTATCTAAGCTCCTGATACATACATATACGTACATATACAGAAAGCAAGCTACACATGACTGCCCGGCTGCAATTAACCAGTAATGTTGTGCACTGTATATCTATGTGAAACTTGGTTTTGCCTGTCCGCAACGAAAAAAGGCTACGACTGTCCGCTGTTTTATTGCTGAATTCAAGCCTAACAAATGGCCGTGTAACACAGAGAGAGAGAGAGAGAGAGAGAGAGAGAGAGAGAGAGAGACGAAGAAGAGAGCAGAGAAGAGGCGGAGCGGAGAGAGGCGAGAGCGAGCGAGAGCGAGAAGAGAGAGAGAGAGAGAGAGAGAGAGAGAGTAGAAGAGAGAGAGCGGAGAGTCGATGAGAGACACCGAGAGAGAGGAGAGAGAGCAGAGAAGAGAGAGAAGAGGAAGAGAGAGAAGAGGCGAGAAAGAGAGAGAGAGAGAGCGAGAGAGAGAGAGAGAGAGAAGAGAAAAGAGAGAGAGAGACGAGCGGAGAAGAGAGAGAGAAGAGAGAGAGAGAGCGACCGAGAGAGAGAGAGAGAGAGAGAGAGAGAGAGAGAGAGAGAGAGAGAGAGAAGAGAAGAGAGCGAGCGAGAGAAGAGAGAGAGAGAGAGAGAGAGAGAAGAGAGCGATGAGAGAGAGAGAGGAGAGAGAGAGAGAGAGAGAGAGAGATGAGGAGAAAGAGAGAGAGAAAGAGAGAAACAGAGAGAGAGAGAGAGAGAGAGAGAGATAGTGAGAAACAGAGATAGAGAGAAAGAGAGAGACAGAGAGGGGTGGATAGGGGGAGAGGGAGGGGAAGCGAGAGCGAGAGTGTGTGAGAGCGAGAGATAACAAGAGTGAGAGCGTGACACATAGAGATCAACACGTGAGAGAGAGAGAGAGAGAGAGAGAGAGCGAGAGAGAGAGAAAGAATCTGCCCGAGGCATAGCAAAAGCAACTAGCATTACTCTCTGTACAGCCAACCAACAGCAGTAAGATCTGCATCTTAACTAGCATCCTTGAGATGCTCGATCTTCTAAATTCGCATACATAATGTATGACAGTGCACGTGACGCGTATAGAGCACGCGGCAAATACTTTAAATGCACAGTGTTGATATAATATAGTAGTCAGCTCTCCCAATACGGACCACCTTATAGGAACCCATCTATTTAGTCCAGTTTTTGTGTGGGGAAGTTCGGATTATGAGGGGAGGGGGGCATCATACATGTCTCAGATCGCGTTAGAATTTAAATATTCGTTCGGTTTAACGTGAGGTTCGTTTAAGCCGATCAGAAATTCAACCGAGACGCATATAAATTTGCACTGTCAGCGGCAGGCGCATGTGACAGCTCCCATGTGAAACAGCCGTCAGCGCACATTACTATAACATCTTACAACGTACTAATATCGCATACACTCTAGATTAAATTAAGCTTAAACCGAGCTGAGTGAGTGAACAAAGTGAGTCAGCTTTGAAAAAGTCTCCTGTTAGGACGCGAAACGTTAGCAGGTACGTTTGAACCTCACGGTTGAGCAGAAATCAACCAAGTTACACATACCTATCTAAGCTTAAACCATTTTACACGCGTGAAACAACGCGGGAAGATGATCCCCCATGTCGCGTACAGTGAGTCTACAACGCTGGCTCTCAGGAACACAAGTATATAGATATATACACGAGTCCATGCGCACCGCACCGCATGCAATATGAACAGGTTTGCCGACGTGCTGCTTGCTTCTACTGGCCACACACCAACACACCTACGCCACACCAGCTACCCAGCATTATTGACACCGTCAGTGAGAAATGGACGCCGTGGTCGTTATTATAGTGACGTATTATCCCATATTGACACTTGAATTGCAATAAAGTAATAGCCGACAACTGGTATATTATAGCTAGACCAGAAATCACGGTAACTTGGTTTGGGTACTATATAATACAATTACCAGCAAAGCAACGGGTTTTATTCTAGGGTACTAGCACGACATTACGTAATACGGGTGCTCAGGCAACTTAAGAGAGATACTAACCAGATAACTTCCAGAGAGATGCTCACCTATTGAAGCGCCATATTTCCTCTATGTTGCCAAACAGAGCGCACACATCCGCTGGTTTGATTGCAACTTCTGGCGTATCGATGATACATTTCAGGTAGCCCTGCATCGAAGAACAAAAAACAAAAAATATAAATGCATCGTCTGGGAACAAGAAATCGAGTTGGCGTTATACGTGGAGATCAAAATGCTCAAAAAAAGTCTTCTACATTGATACAGCTTGTTGCTGAAGTATAATGATAACTCTTGCCAAAGACGGTTTGATATAGAAGGATATTATGGATAATCATAGTAGTTATATAAGTTATATAATAATGCGATTAATTTTATGGTATGTATTCACTATATATAAGATAGCTGAAGCATACGATCACGAGAATATATATTAATCTTAAAAGAATATATATGTTCTTGATATGATATTACATGATTACCAAGAGTAGATAATAACACAATAACATGTGTTATTATCTACTCTTGATGATTATGATATGATATGATATGCGATGATGTCATGATAATGTAATACTATACAACCGATACAACGGATAGACACACACGTACATATACTCTCTGTAGAAAAACGCACTAGAGTTGGCATTTGAGAGGCACCATACGTCGGCATCTACAAACGACTTATTACAGACGAAACAACCGTTTTTCTGCTCAAGAGAAAGCCCGCGGGTCTGGCTAAACACTGTGCCAAAAAGTACCACCATCGCATCCCTCATGCCTCAGTGGATACGTACTACTATGTAATGATATCAAAACATTATAAATCACTCAGTTCGTGGCTATTTATAAACAGTTACCCAAGGCAGGTGACAAGTGAAAGAACCCACACTGGCTTTTAATGTTCTAATATAAACACTTATGCTCTGATTAAGTGAACCGAACCAGTATTATTATTATTACAAAATTCGCCCCTAATTTTCAACGCAGTCGTAAAGGGATTTCCCTCTAAAAATACGACGATCGCCATGTAACATTTTTAGTCTCTACTTCCACCCCACGAATGAATGGAGGTTTTCTGTAAACGACTGCACACTGAGATAAACGGTTGTTATCAATTCGCGATGTCGAGACGGTTTAAGATCACGCGAACTCAGCAACAAAAGCCGGGACACGCACAACCGGTCTAATACTGACATACACAGACGTGTAAAAAAACTATATATAAAAGTAAAAAGAAATTCGTATTCTGTAACTCTGTAATAGCAGTTGCAATTACCGGGTGTAGCAAAGGCTGACTTTTTAATAACATAAACAGTTAGTGATAATCGCGTAGGAAGAATGTCGACAGGGGGCGTTGGAACCGGTTTTCCTAGCAACTCGCTAAACCGTATTAAATATTCTGAATGAGACCGCAGCTTGAAGGCAAATGGAAATATGATTGCACGCGGTGTTACATCACCATTAAACCTGACGGAGAAGCAAAGTGATTTGCATGTTAAATATTTCCTATCCCTACAGATAATGTATAGTCATTTATGTTAAAACTGTACTGTTACTTTACTTCAGCCACACGCGGAAAAAAATACGCAACTCGTTTGCCAAGTACCGCTATAGAATAAGAATACAATATTTTGTATCGTCAATCCATATGCCATGCCACAACCACAAACGACCAACGAAAAGAAAAAGACGCATGTTACGAGAATCACAATACCACTACTATAACCGTAAGAAAAAACTAAAACAAAAAAAATCAAGCAGCCGATACACTATACCCCCCCCCCCCGGGCGATTGCTCGACAAGGGGAATAATAGTGGTTAGGAATTGAAGGAAAATCTAACTAAACCAAAAGTCATGTTATCTCACTCAGGGGTATCATACCTCTATGATTTCTTGAAGATCGTTGACGTACGCTCTTTCGGTCTCCAGGATTTCTAAGACGACCTTGGACAGGTAAGACATTCCCTCAGGATACCAGATCCGATGAGTTGACCCGGGTAGCGAGTTCAATGAATCCCTATAAAGTATAAACACAATCACAAGATTAGCTTCCCTGCATCACGGAATTGTTTTGAATCGGCGAGTATATGCATTTCATCTTGATTTCATCAAGAGCGTATAAAGAAGGCGCTTGATTTCGCTTGGTATTCGCTCTTGATTTCATTGTACACTTATAATTATGTGCATACCTCTTTTAATTTACTCTTGGGCATGTGCGTAAAAGTACGTTTAGAATACCAGAGAAAGGCACCTGGAATCATCGATCACACAGTCATGAGAGATCGATTTTTGTATTGTTTAACTGTTTATTTACACAGTTTAGTTACACACACACGAACGCGCACGCGCACGCACACGGACCCACACGCGTGCGCGCGCGCCCGCACACACACACACACACACACAGACACACACGCACGCACGTGCACGCACCCACACACGTGCGCACACGCACACACACCCACACGCCCCCCCCCACACACACATCGTATACTATAGCCCACCTTTTTGAAACCTGGGATCCATCTGTCTTCGCTCCATCCTGCAGCAGGTCGTCCGCACTGTTGTCGTCCGACTCTGAACCCTCCATCGCAGCCAGCGGACACTTCTTGCTGAACGAACAAACCGAGTCGGACGACGTCGTCGACACGGCCGACGGCGGGCGCTTCGCCGGGTCGCCGTTCGACGAATCGCCGCCGCCGCCCTCCTGCAGCTTGCGCTTGTGCGAGCCCGCTGCGGCGGGAAGTTTCTCCGGCGTGACGGTGGCGCCTCCCGGTGGCGGGACAGAGCCGTCGTCGCTGCTGCCGTCGCCGTTCGCCGACTTTTCGCCGCCGCTGCCGCTCTCCGTCGCCGCCGCCGCCGCCTCGCTTCCTCCTCCGTCGCGTCCGCCAGGTGGCGCCTCGGCGTGTGTCGTCAGCGCGTCGGCCGCGCCCTCTGGCGGTTCGTCGGCGGTCTTTGTTTCGTTGACGAGTGTGTCGAACATGTTCATGAGGCTTGGCGCGATCTCTAGCTTCTTACCTGCGAGAGACAGAGAGAGAAGGTGGGTGAGATGGTGTACGTATAATGGTTACTGAGAGACATCTCTCGACTCTCTCTCTCTCTCATCTCTCTTGCTTTCTCGCCTTCCGCCTCTCTCTGCTTCCTCTCTCTCTCTCTCTCTCCCGTCGTCTCTCTCCCTCCTCTCATCTTCTGCTCCTTCTCTCCTCTCTCTCTCCTTCGCATCGTTCTCGCCGTCTCCTTCTCTCGTTCTTCTCTCTCTCCTCTCTCTCTCTCGTCGGGTCTCATTCGTCTCTCTCTCTCTCCTCTCTCTCTCGCTCTCTCGCTGGTCTCTCTGTGTGTGTGTTGTGTGTGTGGTTTGTGTGTGTGTGTGTGTGTGTGTGTGTGATTTGCTTGTGTGGTGTGTGTTCGTGCGTGCGTGCGTGCGTTTCGTTGTGTGTGGTGTTTTTGCGTGCGTGCGTGCGTGCGCGCCGTGCGTGTGTGTCTTCATCTGGCTTCAGTTTTTTTTTATAGTCCCGTCATTAAATTTATACGTGCGCCATTAGCGACTGAGATACACTAAAAAGGACAAATGCGTGCGCAATGTTTTTGGATATTTGGTAACTGGAGTGGTAGTAAATAACATGGCATGATAAAGTAGCGACTCGTGACAGGTGCGTCGATCTTAAAAACGTATAAGTTTCTGCTATCATATATAAGATTGAAGTCACGCTGCTTTTTATTCTGTGTTTTTGCATCAATATTTCAAGGTGATGTACCGGCGATGTACCCACGCTATATTGAGCGAAAATTGCTATATTTGTCAAATTTGTAAAATCTCTGG